ATTAAGAGACTTCTCCAATAGTCCAAAGGCCTGAACTAGGATGGTGGCTATGCAAGTATGGAGAAAGAGATACATGCAAGATGTGATGTGGGGGCATTACCAAGATTTGGCAATTGATTACAAATGGAGGGGAGGAAATAGGAGGAGGGAGAGGAAAGAAGTAAGGATGACTCCAAAGTGCTGACATTCATTTTTTTTTTTGCTGAGGCAATTGGGGTCAAGTGACTTGCCCAGGGTCACACAGCTAGTAAGTGTCATGTGTCTGAGGTCGGATTTGAACTCAGGTCTTTCTGACTCCAAGGCCAGAGCTCTATCCACTAGCTGCCCCTGACATTCATTATTATAAGAGTAATGGTTCCCTCAACAGAAAAAAAAAAGTTTGGAGGAAAACTTCATTTAAAAGGGAAGATGATGAATTCTGTTTTGGACATGTAGAGTTTGAAATGTCTGTGAGACATCCAGGTGGATGTCTAGTAAGCAGTTGCTGATACAGGACCAGTTATCTAGATTTGGAAATCATTTGCATAGATCTGATAGTTGAATACATGAGAACTGACAAAGTCAAGTGAGAGAGCTTAATAAGAAAAGAGAAGAAGGTCCAGGCCAGAGCCTTGGGATCACCCATAGTAAGGGAGTGAGAAAAAAAAAAGAATAATCCATTAAAAGAGACTAAGGAACAGTCAGGCAGGTTTGAGGAAAACCAGGAGAGGGTCTTGTAACCAAAATCCATGGAATAATACTATAACAACAATAATAAAAATAACAATAATAATTATAAAGCACGTAACACAGTGACTGGCACATAGTAAGCACTATGTAAATGCTTATGAAGAAAAATTATCCAGGAGGAGGGGTCAAGTATCAAGTGCTACAGACAGGTCAAGAAGGATGAGGAGCAAGAAGGGGACTTTATATTTAAGAGCTAAAATCAACATTAATGAGAGAGGAAGAGGAAGGGAGAAAAGAGAGGGAGAGGAAGAGGGAGAGAAGGAAAAAGAGAAGGACAGGGAAAGAGAGGGATAAAAAGAGAGGGAGGGGAGAGGGGGAGAGAGAGACAGAGACAGAGAAAGAATAAGAATAAAAGGAACTATAGAATATCTCTTAATTACACCTCTTTCTTTTCTGTTACTTGAAACTCAAAATGGGAAACATTTGGGAACTGATGTTCAAGGGAAACAATTTAATTTTGTTATTCATTTTCTCATTTCACAATGATGGTTTCAGAGTACCCAAAGTGAATAAGTTTTTTGGCTTAAGCCAAAGCAAACTGTCCAGTGCAGAAGCTGGTGAGAGTTTGGTACCTCCTTATTAGTGTCAGTTTGCAACATTGGAAAGTGTGGTAACTTGTATTTCTTTTTAATTTGTTGGGCACAGGTCCTCAGAGAGCACTAAGAAAAATGGATGCTTAATAAAAACTGCTTTACAATGAAATTGGCTTCAAAGCCTATGCCACTCTGGGTTTGTGATCCTTTTCAACAATACTAAATGATGTACAAAAGGAGGTCATTTCCAAATTATTTTAATAATTTTTAAAGAGTTTGTCCCCTGAGAGCTTAAACTTTCCTTTTAAAAATATAATCATAGTCGTTAATTTTACTTCTAAACATATTTTAATTTGCAAACTTGCTCACTAATCCAATCAAAGTTTCTCCAGAAAATGCTTCACTCTAATGAGTTGGGCTCCAATAAATCTAATCAGGTGGTTCAAAGGGAAATACAATTAGCAGATTATAAAACCTTTAAGCAGAGTAAATTTACTCTGCAACAAAATTAAAGCTTCACTTAAAAAAATGATAAAATTAATTTTCATATATAGCAAATAATTTTGCATGTTCCCCATGGTTTTTGTTTGCATGACATAGGCCTGTTCAAATGGCCTTGTGTGTCAATGGTCTCTCCCAAGCTACACTTTTGTTTCAGGATGCATGCATAAAATACTTTAAATTAGGTAGCTTGAGGATGACAATGGTTTTTTTTTAAATTCATAAAGCAAAGGCAGATATGATACTTTCATATTCAATGAAGAAAAAGTGAAGAAAGGAGATATTTGGAAATACAAAATAAATACCTTACACAAATCCTGTATGAAGTGAATAGGCAGGATTAGACCTTTCTTACCAGCATCAAGCCCTTTCCTAATCATATCCTTATTATACACAATCCCACTAGCCACATGGTGTCTGGGAGACACCATGACCATAGTTAGATACTGAGGGCAAGACAGGGCTTAGGAGTATTTATTTTAGCAGGACTTCTATTTCAAAACATATTAACAGCTAAGAATCATAGAAGTCATAACCATAAGCAATAAGTATAATTTTCTCATTTAAACTGATTACCCCAATTTGATTTCTCCACATCTTCCGTGTCATTTTATATGAATTTCTTTTTGAAGTAGAGAGGACATAAGGATTGATAGCTAGAATTTATATGCTTTAAGGTTTGCAAAGTGCTTTACACAAGTAAAGCTCCATTAGACTGTGAGCTCCTTGAGACCAGGCACCGTCTTTTGCCTTTTTTTGTAACCTTGGTGCTTAGCACAGTGCCTGGCAGATAGTAGTCACTTAATAAATGCTTACTGATTATCTCATTTGATCTTCACAGTGAGACAGCTTGGTGGTACTGGGCCTAGAATCAGGAAAACCTGAGTTCAAATACAGCCTTAGGTACTTACTGGATGTGTAACCTCGGACAAGTTATTCAGCCTCTGTTTGCCTGAACTTCCTCATCTGTAATGTAGGGATAATAATAGCACCTACCTCCCAGGGTTGTTGTGAGGCTCAAATGAGCTCATAATTGTTAAGTGCTTAGCACAATGCCTGACACATAGTAAACACTATGTAAATGTTAGCTATCATTAATTACTATTATTATTATTATTATTATTCACAACAACCCTGACTACAAGTTAGGTATTATTACTATCCTTATTTTACAGATAAGAAAACTGAGGTGATGAGAGGTTAAATGATTTGCCTCAGTTCCCAGAGCTAGAAATTGCACAAAGTAAGATTCAAACTCAGGTCTTCTTAACCCTAATCACACCATGCTACCTAACTGCCTTGATTAGTGGGTAGACTTTTTTTCTGTATTTCTATTGCTGACATTGAAATCCATCCCTGAGGTCATTACTTCACATCTTTTATTGATCAGTACTCACAAGAAGGGCAGGTAGGTGGCAAGTCCAGACACAGTCTTGCCTGGAGTCAGGAAAACTGATCTTCCTGAGTTCAAATCTGGTCTCACATACTTACTAGCTGTGTGACCCTGAGCAATTCACTTAACCCTGTTGGCCTCAGTTTCCTCATCTGTAAAATGAGCTGGAAAAGGACATGGCAAACAAATCCAGTTTGCCAAGAAAACCCCAAATAGGGTCACAAAGAGTTTGAACAACAAACTCTCAAGAAAGGATAAGTGGACTCTATTAATATTATTGATATATTGCTCAGGTATAAATGCAATAAATTGAACAATTTGCAGTTTCTAAATGATAATTGCAATTCTGCCAATCACATTCAAAGACTTCATTAAGCTTGCAAAAAGGCTACCTGCTGAATCAGTTATTGTGGCTTCACTCACATTTTCCAGTGCTACTTAGCTAGGGAGCAAAGTGAACAATCATACACATGCTCCTTAGATCATATCATATCCAAAGGCTTCTCTACTTCTAGTCTAGACATAAGGACATGAGTTCAATTCCAAGTTCATCACAGTAAATATGAAGTTCTTACTGATGAATATCTATTTATTTAACACATTGTAAATTAGCTAGAAGCTCCTAAGAACTTAAAATGTATGAAACATATGTATAGGACATAAAACAACAACAACAGTCAATTAGTTTTTTTATTTTTTTCTAGCGAAAATATAGAGTTGACTCTTTTTTTACAAGGGTTACTCTAAAAACAAAAGACTTTGATAGACAAAGTGATTGCTTGGAATATACATATACAAAGGGAGTGAGTTCTGTCCACTCAACCTGATATAATGAAATGCACAAATTTGCAACAGTTTTCTGAATGAGATGGATTTAAGGAAGACCTTGATGAAAGAAGGGAGAAAGTATAGATAAGAAGAGGTGGGAGTAGTTTGTTTCCAACACAGGAGAGAAAGAATTCCATTAAAGGTGGGATTTCTTACATAGGCTACTGAAAGAAAATTGAATGGAATGAAGGAAACTTTTGGGAGCATAGAGTGAGATGAAGGAGGTGAAGGTGATAGAACAAAACAGATAGAGAGCTTCAAACTTAATGAGAATGAACTCAATTTGAAACATGAGTAGAGAAATTTTCACAAGGAAATGACAAAAGTCAAACAACAATCATTCAACAAACGTTAAGACTCTGTTGTGCTCAGAGTACCATGTATGGGGCAGACGTAGTGTTTAGAAGGATCCCTATTTACAAGATCTAGGAAAACATTAACCAAAATTCTGTTATGAGGTGGACAATCCTTATTGCAGAGATCTGGTTATGAGGATACCAAAGTAATGACACTTAGAAACAGACTAGAAACAGCAATGGCAACAACAGTGTTTGGTGAATTGTCAGTGTCAAGGATACATGTAAGACAGCCCACCTATGCATTTTCTTCAACACCAATATCATCACCCATATGGGACACAAATCCTCTGAGAATTTCCCTCAGAAGAAATGAACCTGAAATCTCACATCCACCAAGGCCTGGCAATTTTTCAACACTTACACTTGGCTTTTCTTTTCCTCCAGAGAAATTCCACTTCAGTCTGAATCATTCAGTCCTAAAGGATGTCTGAAATCACACTTTGTGATGCAAGGCTAATTCTAGCAATAAAGCTTTAATTTGTTTTCACTGCTCAAATTCCACATACTCCAGGTCTCTTTAATGGCTAAAAACATGTTTAGTCTAATGTCTAATTGCTTGGGCTGGATGGTATCAGTTTGTTTCTTTCGATTAAAAAAAAAGATCAGCATATTGAAGTTACAGTTAAGCAGAAAACTAGAACGAGTTCACAAAGATACCTGAAAAATTCCATGAAAGAGAAGCCATATCCATGCTGCTCTGCAATTCCAGCACAGACGACATTGGCTGAGGCACCAATTAATGTCCCATTACCTGGAATCCAAAAAAGAAAAGAAAAGTCAGTTTAGATTTGAGACAGGTTCCCATTATGTTGTCCAGATGTACATTTAGATCAGTTCACAGGTTTTGGATGTGACAATTACTAAGCAGGAAGATCAAGGCCCATTACTTTTCACACAACTCAAGAGAAGTAAGTGTATGCAAATGACAAGGCAGTCACTTGCAAATATCATAATTCTTTTTTCCCCATAAGACCACAGTTGTTCTCTGAGTCACAATAATCAAAAGAGAAGAGGAAATATCAGATCATATCATAAGAATAGTCCCTCAAAATGTACAGAGAAATTGGTCATTGGTTGTTCTCTTCCTCTATTTCTTTCCCTGTCTGCTTGTCTGTCTGTCTCTCTCCTGTGATGTATAAAAAATTTGAGAAACATAGTTTCCAGGGAATCAATCATTTTATTAATCATCCCAGCACATAATTATTAAAAGTGTCAGTGGCACTTTCAAATGCCAAAGAATCACCCATGGAACTCAACACATATGCCCTGGGAAGAGTAGGTGTGCCTTAGGGTAGCAATCAACTCTGATTGGTTAACAACGAATGAGAAGAATGAATATTATAATGAGAGGTAGGCTTATTCTATTGAGGGGCTTGGGCACATGACTATGATCATTCAGTCTTGGCCAAAGAGACTTATCTATACCCATATTACCCTGCCTAGGGTAATCTAGAAAAAAAGTGAGAATCCACTTTTACCCTGACCTGTCTGAGTAAAATACAATAGGCCAGAATCTATCAATTTACCTAAACTAAAATTTCTTTACCTTTTGAACAGATCAGAGTTTTCCATCTCATTACCAGCCCTGTACTTCAAAGGCTGCCTAAACAACCCAGAGGGGCTTATTTCTGAACAAGGGAGGAGAAAAGGGGAAAAACTTTAGTCTTAATTCAATAGTTGGTTATTAAGAGAGAAATAATCACTTCTCTCACAAATACCGGGTGGTATATCTAGATATAGATATTTAGTCATATGTTGTTGTTCAGTCTTTTCAGTTCTATCCAACTCTTTGTGACCTCATTTGGGTCTCCTTGGCAAAGATACTGAAGCAGTTTGCCATTTCCTTCTCCAACTTATTTTACAGATGAGGAAATTAAAGCAAATGGGTTTAAGTGATTTGCCCATGGTAACATGGCAAGTAGGTGTCTGAGGCCAGGTTTAATTCACAAAAATGAGTCTTCCTGATTCCTGGCCTGGCATTTTATCTACTGCACCACCTAGCTGACCCAATTTACTTATATAGATACAGGGTTCACACTCTCTCCCTCCCCCACCTCTGTCTCTCTCTCCCTCTCTCTTTCTCTCTCTCTCTCTCTCTCTCTCTCTCCATATATATATATGGATGGATATATATGGATGGATATGGATGGATGTATATATGCATGTATGTGTGTGTGTGTGTGTATTTATATTTGTGTGTGTGTATGTATTGTGAAAAATGATTTCTCTTAGTAATCTGTAACTTGGAGACTCAGAGCTCCCAAACCCTCTTCTGCTCCAAAGTTCTTCAGAAGGACAATACTGAAAAAAATAAAAAATAATAAAAAATAAATAAATAAAAAAGAAGGACATTACTGATAATGAGATTGCACTGAATCTTCTTATCCTGGTCAAACTCCAACTCAGGCCTGAATTGATTTTATCCTACTCAGGCTTGGGTGGAGACAGATTTCTTCTGCCTAGATAGCCCAAAGACTGGGTGTGGTATTTCCTCTGTCCAGACGGTGGGTGATACCAGCCCCTGTTGACATAGTTTAAATGACCTAAGTCACATGCTCAATACCTCATTTTAATATAACCCACCTCCCAGTGTTTTGACCTATCAGAGTTGATTGGCATCCCTTGGGAACACCTACTCTTCAAAGGGCTTATAACTGTACCACCAAATCTCAAATTGAGCCAATTCTGAACTGGCCTCCTTAGGGGGACCCTGTTTTGGACTAAACTCCCATGCAATGCATGTCAAGCCAGCTTGGGAGAAATTAAACCATGGATACCCTAATTTCATTTGTCTCTTTCCTAGAACAGATTCAGTCATTTATTGGGGTTTGACAGAGAGAGAGAGACAGAGACAGAGAGAGAGACAGAGGCAGAGAGGAGCAATTGGCCAATATGTGTCTAGATAGATACAGATATACACTGATATATAAATATATATATATATATATGTACATATATATGTATATGTATATTTATAGAAAGAAGCATACACAACAGGGCAGCTAGGTGGCACAGTGGATAGAGCACTGGCCCTGAAGTCAGGAGGACCTGAGTTCAAATCCAGCCTCAGACCAAACACTTGACGCTTACTAGCTGTGTGACCCTGGGCAAGTCATTTAACCCCAATTGCCTTAAAAAAAAGAATATGTATAAGAAAGAAGCATACACAAGAGGCATGGGAGAGAACCTGTACCAAGCATAGAGATGGAAAATGGACTGTCATACATAAAGAAAAGCAAGGAGGCTAGTTTGGCTTTTTGTGAAAGGATATACTGTTTAATAATCCTGGAAAGGTAAAACTGTAACCAAATTATGAAAGACTGGCTGCAAATGTCAAAAAGGAGATATCATTTTATGGTAGAGACAATAAGGAGTCACTAGGTCTTTTTGAGCAAGAGAGTGCCCGTGTCAGACCTATCCTTCTGATTTTCATTTTGGCAACAATGTGGAGGATGGACTGAAGTGGGGGAGAAAAACCTAAGGAAGAAAGATCAATCAAATAAGAAGAAGCTATTGTAATTGTTCAGGTAAGAAGTGATGAAGACCTGAATTAAAGTAGTCCTATTATCAGGGAAGAGACGGGGACAAACGTTAGAGATGTTGTGAAAGTAGTATTAACAAGCCATAGCAGCTGATGAATCGTAGGAGTTTGGGATGTTGAATGAGAGTGAAGAATCAAGGTGACTCCTGGATTGTGAAATAGAGGACTGAAAAAATGATGGTACCCTCCAAAGAAATAAGGAAGTTGGGAAGAAAGATGGATTTAGCAAAAAAAGAACAACAGTGAGTTCTTTCTGAGACTTGTTGAGTTTGAGAGACATATATTACCTATTAGTGAATTAGTTAGCTATTACATCCCAAAAATAAAGAAAAATGTAAAATACCCCATAGTCTTACATGCACTGCCCCCATACATTTCCAGTTATGGAAGTAGGAAAAAGAAGACAGAAGGTGAAGAATCACAAATTTTAGACCATCCATAAATATTAGCTTAATAGTTGGCACTCTGTGTGAGAACTTCATTCAATGACCAATGAACTGATATACTATTAGGGAAAATGAACCACTCCCAAACTAACATTCTCACTACAAATGAAACTAAAGGCATAAAGACACTCCAAATAATGGAAGATGGTCCACAAGGTCTCCTCAGGGAGGTAGTCAAAGGAATTAGCAAAGTGGGTTTTGTTATGCTTTGAAAGGCAACAATAAACATCTAACAAGTCATCTTGCCTTGCAATTCACTTGACACTTGCGCAAAAAGATTGTCATGAATATAATTATGTCCAAACATCTATTGTATAAGATAACATAGTAGAAAGATTCTATGAAGAATTTTATAAGGCCCTCCAAACTGTGAGAGAGTCCTTGCTGACCTATAGAACTTCCCTCTAGGTTTGGGTGTGGGGTTACAATTATGCAAATACAGCTCATGCTTTCAACCAGTGCTTTTACTACTAGCAGATCTAGCTGACATAAATCAAATAGCTAAGCATTCAGTTGGGGCAGAATAGAAAGCAAATAATAGAGGTCAACATCATTATTTTTATACAATATTCCCCAATATATATAGTGGTATAATCTCCCATAGATTACTACTCTAATGTGGAAGGAAGCCACTCCTCAAACAGCTAGAACTTCAAGACAGTGAAGGGTTACACTGAGAATAAAACACATTTCATAGCTCTGTCTCCCAGTAATGAACTGGGACTACCTCTGACATAGTCCCACTTAGAACTCCCCCTTCAGCTACCACTCCACTACATTTCCAAAGTTGTTTTCCACTAAAGTTCTATCCTCCACTGCTACTCTCTGTCCCTTAAATTCCTATTTCTATCTTCCCTGCCAAACTGCTGCTGCCATTTGCCACTGTGGCAACTTATTCCTTAGGAGATTTTCCAGGGGTGACTAATAAACAGTTAACACAAAGAGCCCAGAAATCGCTTCATTCCATAAAAACAATTTCTTTGTCAAACATAGGATTACAGATTTAGAATCTGAAGGGTCCTGACATTTGAAGGGTCTAGTCATTTGACATCTAGTCACTTGAGAAATGTCAAGTGACTTGCCCAGGATCACATAGGTAGTAAGAAGCAGAGCCAGGTCTAGAACTCTGTCTTTGATATTCTGACTCAAACTCTAGCATCATTTCTACTGTGCTACACTGCTTTGTGTCACTCAGGGTAGGGACAACACTACTTTTGAGCACTAGGTTGTTTGTAAAATGTTATAGAAAATATTGATTGGTGATTAAGAAGAGTATCATGTCACAAAATTTTAGAAAGCACACAAGGCTGCAGAAAGCTTGCCATGAAACCCAGCAAATCTGGGATATCCCTTGAGTAGTTGTGGATGAAATGGGGGAAAAAAGGCAAAAATAAATGTGAAATAAAACATTTTTAACATTTCTATTAAAATCTGTGCTCAAAAAAAATAAAAAAATAAAAATCTATGCTCATAATCAGAGATAGAACAAGTCCATTAGTACTCTACCTTCTCTATATCAGAAATGTTAAGTGAGGAGCTAGAAAGGGCTCTCAGGAAGATAACACTGGAAAGAATGGCTGAATGTACTTAAACACATGTAATAAAAAATCCATTCTGGAAGCAACACAATTTTTTTTTTGTAAATGGTATTATATTTTTCCCAATTACATGTAAAGATAGTTTTTAAAATTCATTTTTATAAGATTCTGAGTTTCACATTTTTTCTTGCTCCCAACTGCCCAATCTCTCTCCCCAAGAAGGCAA